CCCAGGACTCAGACTAAGCACTTGCTACCATGCTGGGCATTTTTATGTGGGTTCTGGGGATCAAATCTATGTCCCAGGCTTTGGAGGCAAACATTCTACTAAGGACTCTATCCCCCCAGCCTGTTGTTGGCTTTAACCCACTGAAGCCAATCACCCAGAAATAGATCAGTGCATGGCTTTGCAGAACAGACCCTGGCTTTGGGAGAGGTTCTGTGTTTATCCAGACCAGGCCTCTAATCTCCTGGCCCAGTGGCAGGGGGCCTGTGTGAGCGCTCACCAGGCCACCAGAGGCATCAGTTGCCTCCCTGGCCCTGCTGCCTAGGGACTGCTGTGTTCCAGGGCAGTCAGTGTCTATTTGTCAGCTCTCACCTGGAGGCTCCCAGCCTTTCCTGTTGGGGGAACGGTTGAAGGTTATAAAATGGAAAAAGTACGTCTGCCAGGGCAGCCAAAGGAACAAGACAGAAAGCTTGGAGGAACTAGCTGTCCTAGAAGTTACTTGGCCTGCAAGTCCCATCTTTTTTTCTCTCCCTAGACTATGACTGAGAAGGGCTTGGAGCTGACCTAAGCTTTTACTTCTGTCTTCCACAGAGGTTTAAAGGAACCTGAAGCCCCCGGAAGGCGGGGTTGTCTGAGGGCACTCTCAGATGGTGCAGAACAAGTATTTACACAAAGGAAGCGAGGTACTTGGCATTCGCATAGTTTCTCTACCCAGTGTGTGACCCTCTCTGGACCAGGTTTCTAAGTTAAAAGCATTTTTATAGCTCTCTTGATAGCAGCCATTTCTGGGCTCTTCCTCTCCTCTGAGTCATTTTCTCCCTCAGGAATTCTCCCTGGCCCAGATCTCCATTGAGTGAGCAGAACAGCTAAGGAGGGTCCAGAGAGGAATGCAGGCCTCTGCAGCTCCAGCCCAGGCTCCTTGGAGAGATTAGCTGATTGTCCTTTGTCCTAGTGACGCTCCTTCTGTATCAGTGTGACAGCAATGTAGAATTCAAACTCAATACTCAAAGTCTTGTTGATCCAGAACTCTCTCTAAAGTAGCACTATCTGTTTCTGTCTCTGATCATTGATGTGTTTATAAAAAGATAAAGAGATAGGGGATATGTTCTACTGGGGGTGTGGTGAGGTATGGGGGAAGGGGATGTCTCAGCGGGCCCATGCAGAGGCATCCCTTCTCCCTGAGGGACCAGCCACAGATGGTATAGCATAGACTAGAGTTTATTCAGGGCATGGGGAGGGGAGTTAAGAGGGTAGTAGAGGCAGAGAAAGTCAGAGAGAGAGAGAGAGAGAGAATAGAGAAGTAGAGGCCGGACATGAACACGTGGAAAGAGGGGGAAGGGAAAGGGGAAGGGGAGAGGGGACAGAGGGGTCAAGAGAGCAAGAGAGAGAGGAGGGGGCAAACAGCCCCTTTTATAGTGTGTCAGGCCCATCTGGCTGTTGCCAGGTAACTATGGGGAGGAGCATACCTGGCTGTTGCCAGGTAACGGTGGGGTGGAGTTTGGACAGAATGCTAACAATCACCACTTTTAAACAATAAGTCTTTTGGGGCTGGAGATGTAGCTGAGTCTGCAGAGCGCTTGCCAAGCATGCATGCGGCTCTGTGTTCAATCCCTGCATCCCCAGCACTGAATAAGCTAGGCATGGCTGTGCATGCCTATACACCTAGCCCTAGGGAGGTGGAGGTAGGAGGATCACGTTTGGAGTCATCCTGAACTACAGAAGAGACTGAGGCCACCTGAGGCCACATGAGACCTTGGCCTTCAAACAGGATCCTCCTGCCTCTGCCTGCTGAGTGCTGGGATTACAGGCACACACCACCATAGGCTGGGAGTATTTTTTAGGCAAAGAAACTGTGATGAAGATTCTAAGGAATTGATAACATTTACTTCATCCATTGGATTTCCAGATGTGTGAGGTTAAAATAGGGTATGGAGAGGAGAGGTTTCCGGCCTGTCCCCGTGGGTATGTGGTCCTCAGAAGAGCCTACAGAATTCCATGTGAGCTGCCAGGCTCCTGAGGTGCAATCTACATAACGTTGCTTTTTTCTTTCTAAACAAGCAAGGCAGCAAACAAAACAAGCCTCGCACAGAGCCTCTCTGCCCTGGTTGCTCTATCTTATGTCTCTTTATACTCTTCCAAGGCTGTGGGTATGACTTCTTCATGAGAGGAGGGATCACCTTCTCAGACAGGAAGTGTTATAGGAATGAGTCCACATCAGGGTCCAGGCTCAGGTCCTATGACTGTCATTCCTTTGGTTTATTGGATTTATTTAATATATATATTTTTAAAAAGACAGGGTCTCACTATGCAGCCCTGGCTGTCCTGGAACTCACTATGTAGCCCAGGTGGGCCTCGAACTCACAGGAATCCACCTGCCTCTGCCTCCCAAATGCTGTGATTAAAGGTATCCACTAGGGAACCTGGCTGTATTCGAGAGTTTTGCTTGAATGTCTGTCTGCCTGTGCACAAAGTGCGGTGTCAAGTCTCCAAGGTCAAAAGGGGGCATCAGATTTCCTGGAACTAGAGTTACAATTGGTTCTGAGCCACCATGTGAGTGCTGGGACTCAAACCTAGGTCCTTTGCAAGAACAAGAAGAGCTCTTAACTGCTGAACCTTCTGTCCACAGCCCCACACAGATGATCCTGTAGTCAACAGTACTGAGGTGGGCAGTACAGTGAGACCCCCATCTCAAAAATAAAAGCAGATGCGTCACCACTTTTGTCTGTAAGTCTATGGTTTTTGTTGTTTTATATGCTCCAAGGTTTCACGTAGCCCAGGCTAGCTCATTATGCAGTCTTGCGTGCCTGATCATGCTTTCTCTACCTCACAAAAGCTGGAACCACACAGAGTCACCAGATACCTGTGAGGAAGGACCTGTGTGTAGAGAAAGGAATAAGAGGGAGGCTCCAGCTCTCTCCCTAAGGTACATCTGGAAGCCTAATGGTTAGGGATGGGGGGGCCCGCAGGGAGAGCTCCAAACTCAATCAGGGAGCCCTGGGACCTGGATAAGGGTGTCTGGGGCGGGGACTTGGCCTCCCTTATTATCACCCAATATGAATGGTAGGAATGGGTTCCTGTCGCCCAGGGGACCATGGAGAAAACCACCGCAATGTTTCATAAGTCACTTTAACAGATTCAGTTAAATTCAGGTGAATGAAAATGCAAAATACACTCGGGAGGCAGAGGCAGGAGAATCAGAAATTCAAGGCCACATCGGTTACAAGAAGTTATGGGTCAGCAGGAGCTACGTGAGATCTGGTCTCTAGACCAGGAGGGGAGGGGCAGGGTAAAGGTGCCTGCCAAGCCTGAGGAACTGAGTTATATCCCTGGAATCCACACAGTTGAAGGAGAGAAAAGACTTCTGCAAGTTGTCCTTTGACCTCTGAAATTACCTGGAGACACAGGAGACCCCCCCAAAAAACACAAATAAAATGTACCACGCCCCCTGCAACACAGAGAGACAGAGAGAGAGAGAGAGAGAGAGAAAGAGAGAGAGAAAAAGAGAGAGAGAAGAGATATATAAATCAGGAGACCTACAAAACAGTTTTACAAACCTAAACAAGAGAATCAGTCACCACAAACTACTCTGTATGTTGTTGAAAGCTGACGTCATGTTGAGACAGTTCAGATTCTTGCTGATCAGTCCTCCTTCCAGAGAAACAAAAACAAAAAAAATCCCTAAACCTCATCATACCCACAAATACATAAATGTCTGTAATTAACCGAGCAATGACGTCTTCTGCCTGCCACTGTGTGTGTGTGTGTGTGTGTGTGTGTGTGTGTAGGGAAAACCTAGATTTGCCCTACCGGATCCCCTTTTTGATTCCAGGACCCTTCACTGACAGGTCACACAAGGCTCTTTCCAGTGTCTCCAGAGAAGAGTTCAAAAGGGACAGGCTCAAAGTAACTATCTTGAGTGGATGCCTGCCAATCCAAACCCTAAAGGCTACCGGAGCTGTCCAGGGAAGGAGGGTACATACAAGCAGTGTTTACGGAGCGATGGCCACATCTTAGCGGATCACCCCAGCATCCTCTATGCTGGCATTTGGGACATGAAGTTGGCAGAGCACTTGGGGTTCATGCGGTAGAGGCATGAGGGATGTAGATGCTCGCCCTGGGCTCTGACCTCGACAGATGCGTAGGAGGTGGGGCTCTGGCTGCCAGGGCGGGGCGGCTCGCTGTGGGATTCAGGGACAAAGGCGCGCGAGCTCGAGGCAAGCCTCCCCGGAGCCGCGGGGGAGGCGCACCCGGAGCGATAATCCCACCCGGACACTACTGGGGCGTGGCGGGGACCACGCTTCCTCCGCCCGCCGCGGCCCGGGCCTCTCAGCCGTAGCCGAGCAGCTCGGGGAACCCTAGACCCTTGCCCGTCGCTGCCGCCGAGCCCCGTCCCGCGTCCGCGCCGCAGCCTCCGCGCGAAGCACGCGCCGCCGGCTCCCACCGCAGCTCGCTCCCTATTGGCTGGCCGGCCCGCGGGCGCTCCCGCCCCGCCGCCCCATTGGCTGAGGCCGCCGCGGTCCCCCCGCGCGCCAGCCGCCGCTGACATCACGCGGTCTGAGGCGGCGGCGCCCCCCGGCTCAGCCCCGCAGCCCCC